TTGTTTGTTTTTCTTTTCCCCATTGGTTGCTTCTTGCATGTGCCCTGGCCGGATATTGAACCCGAGATCCTAGCATATCAGGACAACTCTCTAACCAACTGAGCTACCTGGCCAGGACCCAGAAAGCCATTTTTCATGCTGGATAAATAGCTACAAATGATAACCAGGTGACCTTTCCTCTCTCACCCCAGGAAGAACTGACAGGAGGAAGGACTGCTGGTGAAGGATTAAGAAGAGGTTGTGCTGAGTGTCTGCTGTTTCTGGTTGCCTCGCATTAGACATTCTACTTATTTATAATGGGGGTGAAGGTGGAGGTGGGGGATTTCATAACAGATGCAGGCAGCTTGCCCCCTACTCAGAAGCTGAAAGTCCAATCAGATCTCCCCTCCCACCTCAATCTCATTTGTGGTTAGATGGGAAAAATTAACAAGGCAACTGCTGTCCCTGGTTCTGAATTTCAGGACCAATACTTTTTTTTTTTAACAAGAAAAAACAATCAAATTTAATTGCCTACATACATATGAGAACCCCACATATCTGAGCGAGTCAGAGACCCCACACACATGAGAGGTTCAGAGAGAGAAAGGGAAAATCAGGTATATCTGGCATTCTGAGCTCAGGCACCTGGGACTTCAGAGGGGAGGAAGGTCCTTGCAGGACGATAAGAGCAGATGTTCAGTAACTAGAAGTTTGTCCAGCCCTATAAGTAGGACAAACTATAAAAAATTATAAAACTATAAAAATTATTTTCGGTGATAACCCTTATTATGGGCAAGGCCTCTAATTTAAAGTCTTTTTTATTTTTTTTAAATATATTTTACTGATTTTTTACAGAGAGGAAGGGAGAAGGATAGAGAGTTAGAAACATCGATGAGAGAGGAACATCGATCAGCTGCCTCCTGCACACTCCCCACTGGGGATGTGCCCACAACCAAGGTACATGCCCTTGGCCGGAATCGAACCCGGGACCCTTCAGTCCGCAGGCCGACGCTCTATCCACTGAGCCAAACAGGTCAGGGCTAAAGTCTTTTTTTTAAATTGTTAACAGTATTACAGACTCTTCCATTCTCCCCCCTTTTGCCTCCCTCCACCTGGCCCATACCCCACCCCAGGCCTTCACCACACTATTATCTGTGTTCATGGTCTATGTATACATACTTTTTAAAAAGCCTCTTTAAATGCAAATTGGCTGGACTAACCTTCGGGAAGCTGTGGGGCCATAGGGTAAGCATCAGTCTGGGGGGTGGGGGTGGAAGTATAGTGACTCAGCCACTGAACATGTGAGGGAAGATATCTGATTCTAGCCACCTACCTCCCTGAGCCTCAGCTTTCTCAGCTCTCAAACTGGGTTAAGAGCCCTTATGTCACAGGAGGAAGGGCAGATAGAAAGGGAAGGGCAGATGGAAAGGTCGAGGGTCCCGTGGCTGGGTCCCTGGGCGGTGCAGTACTAACCTTCCCAAGCAGGCTGTCTAAGTCCCCCAGGCCCACACTCAGCTTTCTGGTTCCAACCTGAGCTGGGTTCCTTAAGCAAGGAATATAATTCTGAGAGCAACGATGGCCTTCAAATCAAGTCCTTTTCTGCTTAGGTAACCAGAGTAAGTTCCTGTAGCTTGTAACCAAGAAATCACAACTGGTCTAAAGTGCCCTTTTGTAAGGCTGGCTAAATGTCACAGTCAGGAAAACACAAATAGAACTCAGTGCTGAAGGACAGTGTGTGTCTAGGTTATAGTAAATCAGAGCGTGAACTCGCCGTGCCTCCTGAGGCTCACTCACCCAGGAGGGTATGTCCCAGTGGGAGGAATGGCTGCAGGTGCCCAAATTTCTTCTTGCGGGGGGTGGGGGGGCATAAAGTATTAGTTTACATTTGCACTGACCTGGACAGGGCACTGTCCAGTTTCCTTAACAAGACCTCAGACAAGAGGTTTCCAGGGCCTCTGAAAGATTCCCAGGGATCTGGGGCAATCTTCCTCCCCCCAATCACTCGTATCACATCCTTCATCAGACTTTTCCTCCTAAATATCTCCCAATTCCACCCACACCCCTTCTTGTCCACTGCCAGCCCTGACGTCCTTTGCTTAGGACAAGACAATCCAGTTGATGTGGTCTGTATGCTGCATGGCTCAGCCCACCTCTCACCTCAACTCACAGGAGCTCTTTCAATTCTCTGACCAACTCCCCAATCCTCACCCCAGCCCTGGCAACCACTATTCTACTTTCTGTCTCTATGACTTTGACTACTTAGGTACTTCATTATAAGTGGAATCATACAGTATTTCTCTTTCTGTGACTGGTTTATCTCACTTAGCATAAAGTCTTCAAGATTCATCCACATAGCAGCAACTGTCAGAATTTCCTTCCTTTTTAAAAAAAAATTGATTTCAGAGAGAAGAAGGGAGAGGAGAGAGGGATAGGAACATCAATGATGAGATGCCTCCTCTACGCCCCCCACTAGGGATCAAGCCCATACCTGGGCATGTGTCTTTGACCGTGAATCGAACCTGTGACCTTTCGGTGCACAGGAGGACACTCAACCACTGAGACACAAGCAGGGCAGTTTCCTTACTTTTTAGGCTGAGTCATATTCCAAAATACATATACTACATTTTGCTTATCTATTCATATGTCGCTGGATGATGAACTCCCGAGTTGCATCTGTATTTTGGCTATTATGAATAATGCTGCTATGAACACAGGAGTACTAATACCTGTTCAAGTTCCTGCTTTCAATTTTCTAACTCAGAAGTGGAGTTGCTGAATCATTTGGTAACTCTATGGTTCATTTTCTGAGGAACTGCCATACTGTTTCCAAGTGGCTGCATCAATTTACATCCTCACAAGCAGTGCACAAGGGTTCCAATTCCTCCACATCCTCACCTGAACTTCCTATTTTCTGATAAAGTCACCCTAATGGGTGTGAGATGATATTTCATGGTGGTTTTGAGTTGCATTTTCCTAATGACTAGTGATGTTGAGTATCTTTTCATGTATTTATTGGCCATTTGTAGACCTTCTTCAGAAAAATGTTTAAGTCCTTTGCCCATTTTTTTGTTTGCTTGTTTTTTGTGTGTTAACTCTCACCCAAGGATAGTTTTCCCATTGATTTTTAGAGAGAGTGGGAGGGAGGGAGAGAGAGTGAAAGAGAAAAACATCGATATGAGAAACACTGATTGGTTGCTTTTAGCATGTGCCTGACTGGGGCTGGGGATCGAGCCCGCAAGCTGAGCACGTGCTCTTGACAGGAATCGAACCCGGGACCCCTCAGTCTGCAGGCCGACACTCTATCCACTGAGCCAAACCAGCCAGGGCCACACAGCTTTTTCTTACACATAGCTATTAAGTGGCATGGCCAGTACTTTAATCTAAGATCTCAGCTGTCATCCTGCCTATCACTTATTCAATCATTTGTTCACTCAAAGAGTCTAATGAATGTTGACTATGTACCAGAAACTGTTCTGGGAACTAGAGAATATCAAACAGACAAGAGTCCTGCCCTCATGAAGACATCAAACAATTAAACCAACAGATAAATAAAGTACTTTAAATGATGTTACGTGTTATGAAGAAAATGAAGCAGGCAAAAAGACAATGGTGGCAGGTGCTCAGGTGTCTGTGGAGGTGACATCTGAACTGAGACCTAAAGAGGTTCCTGGAGCTCCTTCAGAACAGAGATCTTTGGTCTTCTTCTCTCTCTCTTTAGCACCAGTACACAGAGTCCAGTAAATAGTAGGGGCTCAGTAAATGTTTGCTAAATGGATAATAGGTGCAAAGGAGCTGTCAAGTCTCATGAGCCATGATAGAAATATTACAAAATAGACGTTAACATTGAAATCATTCATGTTTCTGTTTAGAATCATTTAACACTAAAATTTGAAGGTCTGGCAATACCGAGTGTTGGTTATGCTGTGACCAGCAGAATGGTCACATGCTCTGGTGGAGTGTAAATTGGCAGGAGCACTTTGGGGAAACAACGTGGTTAGGTCTACAAGGCTGAACATATGCACACGCTACGACCCAGCCATTCCACCCTTCAATGGACATCCAACAGAAATATAGTCATACCCTGCACCAGAATGCCTGTGACAGCAATATCATAATAGCCAGCAGTTCCCATGTGGGAATTATCCAGATGTCCTTGAACAGCAAAACAGACAAACTGTGCTATATGCACATAATGGATTATCCTACTGCAATGAGAATGAATACTAACAACTATGTGTAACAGTATGGATGATGTTCACAGTTATAAAACTGAGCAAAGGAAGCCATATACAAAAGAGCTCATCCTATATGAATCCATTTCTATAAAAAGTACAAAAGAGGAGAAAACTAATTTTTGTTGTTAGAAGTCAGGAGCGTGGTGACTCTGGGGTGACCTCTTGCTTCGAAGATGGCATGAGGCAGAGTTGCTGGAAATGGACACATTGGTGTGTTCATTTGGTGAATGTGCATCACCTTGTATGCTTCTGTTAAGAGTGCTATTCTGTTTCAAACGTTTGGGAATCTGCAACAATTCAAACAAATCAATTATCCAACAACGTGGATTCCACAGGGGTGGCGGGCTTCCTTCCTGTCCTGTGCTGAATGTAAAGACAGATTTTTGCAAAGAACAGCCTGAGCATGACAGCTTCCTCTCACCTTGTATGTGCTGCCTCACATCAGCTTTGGAGAGCAACTTGAGCAGTCAGGAGACCTTCAGTCAAATCACAAGAGCTGGGGTCTGCTAGCCACTGGCTCTGCAACTCTAAACATGCTACATCCTCCATTCAGCTTTAGGTAAAAGTGCATAGGCTCCTGGTGGGAATGAAGAGAGGAATGTGTGTAAAGTGCCTACCCTGGTGCATGGCACAAGGTAAGTGCTCAGGGATGCTAACTGAAACTCCCAAAATGATCACATGATTTTGTTTGAGGCTTTCAAACCAATGATGAATCAGCCTGATGGAAGGAAGGGGCGAAGGAAGGGGCTAAGGAGGAGGCAGAGGATTGTGGGAGGAGAGACTTACCCTTCATGATGCTCAGGCTCTGCCCCAGTGGACGGAACCCCTTTAGTAACCTGGAATGTTGCATTACAAAAGCTGCACACTATATGCTCCAACTGGCTCCAACCTGTAACAGAAGATACAAAAACAGGCAAAACAAATCTATTCGTAGGAGTTGTCTAGTGACTCCTTGTGGGAGGACAGTGATTAGAAGGGGGCACAGAGGAGGCTGCTGGGAGGATGGTCACACTCTGTGTCTTCTTAACCTGGTGCTGGTTGCACTAATAAGTGAGGTTCGTGAAAATGTATCAAGCTCAATACTGAAAATACGTGTCCTTTTCCTTATAGGTCTCAATGTAAGAATCTGGCCTAATTTAGGAGGCCAATGCCTTATCCATTAGGCCTAATTTAAATTCTGGCCTAAGAGAACTAAACTAGACGGATGAACACTACCCCCAGCCCTCTGTAATGTGGACTCCAAGCCAAGAAGGTAAACAAAAGAATTCGCCATGTCCCCTGTCCCATCGTTTTGCCAGGAGATGGCACTTGTAGAGAGAATGGAGGAGGCCCCCTTTCCCCACCTTTGGGCAATTTTCTTTCCTTCCTTCCTTCCTTCCTTCCTTCCTTCCTTCCTTCCTTCCTTCCTTCCTTCCTTCCTCTCTCGCTCCCTCCCTCCCTTTCTTAATATATTTTTATTGATTTCAGAGAAGAAGGGAAGGGAGATAGAAACATCAATGATGAGAGAGTATCATTGATGAGCTGCCTCCTGCATGCCTCCTACTGGGGATCGAGCCCGCAACCAGGGCATGAGCCCTTGACTGGAATCGAACCCAGGACCCTTCAGTATGCAAGCCGATGATCTATCCACTGAGCAAAACCAGCTAAGACCTTTGGGCAGTTTTCTGCACAACCTGGGAGACAAACAGCTCTCAGGAACCTCATGGACCAGCCCCATTGAAGGCAAACAGTGTTCATCCTGCCGCAGGAGGATGTGCTGGTGGCAAAAAAACCTGACCAGGTGCAAAGAAACCTGTCACTGAAGGTGTGCTGGGTCTAAGGTGCTCCAGTGCCCCAGTTATGTTAAAATCTGGACTAAAAATAAATAGCAACTGGCTTTGTAGTACAGGTGTGAGTCTCGGAGGCCAGGGAGGAGGCAGGTGACATGGAAGGAGCCACGTGTGCATGTTTGTGCGGAGGGGAGGTGACTATAGAAAGTGAACATTCTCCAGGAAAAGGTGACACAGCAGTTACAAAACAAGACTGCCAATGACACTTCCTGGGACAGTCGTGGGCTTCCGGTCTCAGATGAGCCCCATGAGGCTTTACAGCAAATAACATGGATAAGACCACCCCCTCTCTATACAGAGTTGCTTGCCTTATTCATCATGTGTCTGAATTCTTCCAAGTTGCTTTGGGTACAGCCTCTCCCTATTTTTTATTTTTTGAACTGCTTAAATATAATTCACATTTACCCATTTTAGTATGTTCACAGAGTTGTGCAAACATCATGACAATCAATTTTAAAACATTTTCATCACCTCAAAAAGAAAAACCCTCACCCATTAGCAGTCACCCCCTCCCCCCGTTTCCCCCAGGCCTAGGCAGCAACTAATCTTTCTGTCTCTATGGATCTGCCTATTCTGAACATTTCATATCAATAGAATCATACAGTACGTGGTTTTATGTGCCTGGCTTCTTTCACTGAGCATTATGTGTCAAGGTTCATCATATGTTGTAGCAAGTGTCAGAGCTTCATTCCTTTTTATGGCTGAACAATATGCCATTGTATGGATAAACCACAATTGATGGGGTGTTTTGACATTTTTGGCATTAGTGAACGTGACCATTCATGCTATGAATATGAACAAATGCTGCGGTTTTCATGTGCACATGTTTCCATTCTCTTGGACTTATTCCTAGGAGTAGAATGTATGATGAGTCACGTTTAATCTTTTGGGGAACATTTGCCTTTAGCTTTAAGTGCAAATACAATTCTATCATCTCATTTCTTCTTTGATTCCTATTAACAGCAAGCAGGAAATGGCAGCTCTTTTTGTAAGGGAGGGAACTGAGGCCGAGAGCACTCAAAGGATAACAAATACTAATAATAAAACAACATGAGTGCCAGCACATGCCAAGCACCATGTAAAGTGAACTAACTGCAGTCAGCCATTCCATCCTCACAACAACCCTATGAAGCTGGCATTATCTTCATTCCCATTTTGTGGTTAGAAAATTGAAGTATTTTTTAACAGGGCCATACAGTGATGTGGCCCAAGACTTGAACCTAGCTCCATCTCAGTACATTGTAAGCTCTCACTGGCTCCCAAACCCTTTGCAATTTGGTGGATTCTGGAGGGTCAGCAAATTTTTACCCAGCCTTTGGGATGGTAAGGTTTGCATGTCCTGTTCTACTTGACCTCTACTGCACGGGACACTGTGGACTACCCTTTGCCCTCCTTCTTCTCTGACCCTCTTCTCAGTCTCTATGGGTCTTTCCTGGATCTGTCCTAGAGTCCTTTCTCCTCAATGGGTCTTCCTGCCTCCTATTTCCACTCTCCTCACACTGCCTGAATGCTCTGCTTAAAACACAGATCTGGTCATATCACAGCTTAAAAGTCTCAACGTTCCCCATCACTACTAAACAGGATAAATGCTACATTTCATAGACTGGTCTCTAAGACCCTCATCCTCTTTTCCCATCCTCTACAACCGCATTTCACACCCTACAATCCAGCCATAAAGAACAGTTTTCAGGGGGTTCAGTGGAGGGGGTCAATGAGAACAAAAGGGGGGACATCTGTAATACTTTCAACAATAAAGATAATTTTTTAAAAATAATAATACTCTGTTTCTGAGGTATTGTGCTACCCAAACCACACACACACACACACACACACATGAACAGTTTTCATTTCCCCAGAGACATTGTGCATGTCATATCTCTGGGACTTTGCAAAAGCAGTTCTCCCTCCTTGGAGTGCCCTTATCCACAGAATTCTTACACATTCTTAAAGTCCCAACTTCAATGTCCCTCTTCTCTCTGAAGCCTCCCTCCTCTGGGTACTCCCCACTCAACTTCTCAAAGCACTTTGTTTTGAAGTCTTCAGCACAAGCTATTATATTAGTCTCCCTAGCTGACCTGTGTTCACTTTGAGAACAGAGATTGGGCTTTATTCCAGTCTGTATATTTCCAGAACAAGACCTTGCTTGTAAGATATAGAAGATATATTCCTTACAGCAATGGAATATATATTCTACTAGAGGCCTGATGCATGAAATTCGTGCAAGAGTAGGCCTTCCTTCCCCCGGCTGCCGGCACCAGATTCCATCTGGCACCTGGGACCCGGGCTTCCCTCTAACCACCGCTTCGTCTGGAAGGTCGTCCGGAAGAATGTCCGGTCTAATTAACATATTACGCTTTTATTATTTCATAGATATCTTCCCTGTCCAATATGGTAGCCACAAGCCATATGTGGCTAATGAGATGTGCTGTAAGTATAAAAAACACACTGGACTTCAAAGACTTAGTGTGGCAAAAGAATGTAAAATATCTCTGATTGGTATTTTTGTTTTTTGTTTTTTTTATGTATTTTTATTGATTTCAGAGAAGAAGGGAGAGGGAAGGAGAGAGAGAGAGAGAAACATCAATGATGAAAGAGACATCATTGCTCGGCTGCCTCCTGCACGCCCCCTACTGGGGATCGAGCCCACAACCCAGGCATGTGCCCTTGACTGGAAATGAACCCGGGACCCTTCAGTCTGCAGGCCAACACTCTAGCCACTGAGCCAAACCAGCTAGGGCTGATTGTTTTTTTATATTGATTAAATATTAAAATAGTATTTTGCATATACTGGGTTAAGTTAAATATATTAAATTAAACTCACCTTTTTCTTTTTACTTTTTAAAACATGGCTAGTAGAAAAAAATTAAATTACATATGTGCTGGTCTCCCAGTTTTCTAATTGCTTCTTTTGGTCTAAAGCAGTAGTTCTCAACCTTCCTAATGCCGCGACCCTTTAATACAGTTCCTCATGTTGTGGTGACCCCCAACCATGAAATTATTTTCGTTGCTACTTCATAACTGTAATTTTGCTACTGTTATGAATCATAACGTAAATATCTGATATGCAGGATGTATTTTCATTGTTACAAATTGAACATAATTAAAGCATAGTGATTAATCACAAAAACAATATGTAATTATATATGTGTTTTCCGATGGTCTTAGGCGACCCCTGTGAAAGGGTCGTTCGACCCCCAAAGGGGTCACAACCCACAGGTTGGCGACCCACAGGTTGAGAACCGCTGGTCTAAAGAAACCATTCTCAACACAGCAATCAGAATGCTTCTTTAAAATGTTAATCAAATCAAATACAGTTGGTCTCATTAGTGGTTATGGTCCATAAATTTGCCACAAACCCTGAATTAGAGAATATTGAACCACTGCTCCAGGAGAAATACAGGGTAAGGTTCTTGCCAGACTCTGGTCACACTTGCATATGAATCAATACATAACCATGTTTTATGAGTGTTTCTATCTAATGATGCTGGTTTAATATATATTATTGATTCGGTAACATTGAACTCAATATAACTCATGCCTGTAGAAAGCTTATCTAACACACCCATTTTTCTCTGTAAGCACATCACAGCTTTCTTGCACTTTGGAACATTAGGCAGTGCTTCAGCACTATGCTTGGGAGCCTTTTTTTTTTTATCCTCACCCTAGAATTTTATTTTTTATTCTTTTTATAAATATACTAGAGGCCTGGTGCACAAAATTTGTGCACTCACGGGGGTCCCTCAGCTTGGCCTGTGCCCTCTCACAGTCCAGGAGCCCTCAGGGGATGTCTGACTGACAGCCATCAGTCAGACATCCTTAGCACTGCCGCGGAGGCGGGAGAGGCTCCTGCCACTGCCTGTGCTTCTGGCTGAGCAGAGCTCCCCCTGTGGGAGTGCACTGACCACCAGGGGGCAGCTCCTGCATTGTGAGTCTGCCCCCTGATGGTCAGGGCACGTCATAGCAACCCTTCATTCCACCGTTCTACCGTTCGGTTGATTTGCATATTAGCCTTTTATTATACAGGATATTATTGATTTCAGAGAAATCAAGGTAGGGAAAGGGAGAGAAAGAGAAACATTAA